TGAACTTAATGGACAAAGTTTTCCATTTTTTTAATAAAGGCGAATGAGAATGAAGATGAAAACTGATGCAAATGATGTAATTACAAGTGATTGACAAGCAAGCGAGAAACATCATTCTGATTTAATACGGTTTAATATTTTAAAATTGACTGCATCTCCTAACGTATAATTGATTTTGAAGATTAATACAATTAGAAAAATCGTTAATTAAATCCATTTCGTAAAATTTTAGAACGTCGTTCCCAACGCTATGGACATTTTTTTTTTATCAAAATCGAGCCAATAATATCAGTTAATTAACACACTGTCAGCCGTTGTCACTTTGCACCACTATTTCTACAAGTGAAAATGATTCTAGGCCGCGAATCCGATGGCACGACAATTGTTACTTGCAAAAGATTATACTAACTTTTCATCATATACAAATGATGTGTTCGCGATCACTGCTTGTTATCTCACTGTTTCGTAATTGCAATTCTCGCGGAATTTCAGAGCTCGTTTCTTAACGTAGAGAAATGATGAGAGAAGCCAGCAAAGGCCGAAGGATACGATTCCCATTTGGATTTCATCACCGAGGCTTCTTATTAGGTGACCAATAATAGAAGATACGACGATGCAAATGGACGCGTGTCTCTGCAAAATGTGTCTCAGGTCACGACCTGTTCCTTTCGATTTCCTCCTGCGACTCCTTTCGATTCGAGCCGCGTCTAATTGAGTCGTTTGCATGGCGACCGCCCGTTCGAACCAACGACCAACGGATGAACGGATATTGTAATTTTATCGGGAACTAGCGTACGAGGTGGAAAAGGGGAAGTGGGTCGGCCAGTTATGGATGCCTCGTTCCCGCTTGATTGGATGGGGAAGCGTGTTTTAATTTGTTGAAGGCGCTGGCTTGATTTGTGGTTCACGTTGGCAGTGGCTTTTATTCCTCGTCTTTTCTTCCCTCATTCTTCTGGGAATTTTCTTTCACAAAAAGAAGAAATAGAACATTCGAATATTTTGATATTTCACATTTCCGGGGAGGATTGATGGACTGCAATTATATAAACTATTGTATAATTTGTCGCTTCTATGTTTCAGTTCTACCGTGCAATTAACTGCGACCAACTAATTGCAAAAGAATCTGATCTCAAACTGATTCACGTCACGTTGTTTCGACAAAAATATCGCGTTTATTTGAACGCTACAACCTCTTCCCTTCCTCCTCGTAGAACGTAGACAAATCCTCTGGAAGCCATTTTTCACGGATCTCATTATCGGCCCCCGCTATCTCTTGCTGAAACAACCGGCTTCTCCGAGCGCTTCAGTCCAAATACCGTAACGCAATTAAAATCGACGTCCCGCTTATCCTTCCTCGAATCTCCCGCGAGATCCAGCACCTGATCGGACTGGCGATCGACTGGATCGCGATTAAAAGCGAAAGGACGATAGGTTTCCTCAGCGGTAGGTATTCACCTCGGGATCGAAGGATCGCGATTAAAATCGACAGAAGTAAAAAGACGAAGGAGATCTTCTACTTTCGGAATGGTTTCCTCCGCGATAGGATTAAAAGCAAGAAGGACGAGGAGAAGAAAGATCTCGCGAATGCTTCTGCCGATCGATATTCCAACACGCCGATGGTGTGTCGGCGGTTGTACCATCGAAACCGGTTGGCCGAGCTGGAAGCTTCGATTACGTCGTTTGTAACGCGGCATAACGAGTTTACGCGCGATGCGATCGATTAACCAAGCCCGACGTCGGTGTCGAAAGAAGAACCGGTGCCGATCGTTTAATCCGTCCTATCGCCGGCTAACGATGTATCGATGTCGATCGGCCTCGTCGCGAATTAAGCCACTGAATATTCATGGCGGGAAATCAGTGCGCGCTCTCCCGCCGCGATCAGAGATTCTAATCAGCTTCCGGTTAGCTTACCATTTTTCCCCGCCTTCGTTACGAAGGTATTAACCTCTTGCCTCGCGCGAAATCCTCGCACGAGGATCAGCGGATTGAATAGGAAACAGTTTAGAATATTCCGCGCGCTCTTTAGCTCGAGCTTCTCTAACTTCAGCTCGGCTCTTTGTTCGTCGTGTTCATCAGATAATGTTTAAGCATATTTAAAAGGGGGAAACGGGGGTTTTCAAGCGTGCAGAGTTTGTTCACCAACGGCTGATAGGGAGTTTAATTTTTATCCAATCCTTTTTATAATTCACGCGAGAGAACGTGTGCATATATACTCTGCAGAGTGAGAGAATATCATGACTAGGCAAATTTAATTCTTAATCTAAC